GAAACTTCTAGCGACTATATCTCACTGCTCCGGCGACCTCACACAAAGATGACAGCACCATTGTACTTTACTCTCAGCAAGGAACAAGATAGAAGGAATAATGAATTGTTTTGGTGAGGAAATGAAGGAGTGGGCTCTCCTTAAATAGCCAATTAAGGAAGGAAGAAGACACATGTTTGTAGCTTCCTTGATTGCACGGTGATTCTGATTTGGGAATCAGCGTAATTGAACAATGCGCCGTTTGGTACGTAGTCCCTGATTGGGACAATATTTGGTCCCAGCCGGGGTACACTTTTTGGTTCAACTTTCTCCAAATTGAAATCCGATTGAACCATTCGGGTCAGACAGTCAAACTCTACATAATGATATAATTTTCATTATTTATTGACAAACTTTATAAATCACTTATTTTTGGATCCTTCTCATTAATTAATTAATTATCAATTAATTAATTCTGATAGGCCAAATTTCGGGGCGTTACAACACTAGTGTCCTACCATCATGATTCAACACATGCAAATATATTCGGTTCCATATGTAAACAAGTTGTTCAACATGGCGGACCTGGTTTCAGAACTGGCTGATAATCGATTAACCACATCTGATAATCGATTATCATGTTACGCAGTTCCTGTTCCCAAGTTCCGCAAGCCATGATAATCGATTGTCACCTCATGACAATCGATTGTCAAAGTATTTGTTCCCAAGTTCAGAGGGGCCTGATAATCGATTATAGGTATGTGATAATCGATTATCAAAAGAACCAGCCCAGACTTGAGATTCCGCAGGACCCAATAATCGATTATCAGCAAGGTGATAATCGATTATCACGTCTTGCTGGAAAACTGAGGAGTTCAGCACGACCTAATAATCTATTGTCAAATTCTGTAAATCGATTATTAAGGCACACTGGTTCCTATTTTTGCCTGTTGGATTTTCATTAAGACGTTGAGGGTTTAAGAAATGAACGTTTATGTTTCCAGCTTACGTATTGATGAGTTTGCAACGTTTTGTAACGTTTATACTAACATCACACTTTAGCTTTCCGGATTATTGGCTTTTCAGTACTGCTACACCCACGTGCATCCAAATCGGCCATTAGGATACTGATATTGCTATACTAATATGATGCTTAAGATTTCAATCTCCCATTGCATGAGTGGAGATTTGCGTCTCTAAATGCTATTGCCATTGCCTACTTGCTTGCCGATTGTTTGCCTGTTGCTTGCGCGAACCTCCTGCGTGCTCTCCCTTCTCTTCTACTTCCCGTTTACTCGCCGGAATCCACTTCGTGCCTGCCTGTTTCCTTGGCCGAACAGAGAAAAGGGAGAGCGGAGAGTGTTGAGAGCTTTGTTGGGGGTTACAAATGGGTAAGGGAAAATGAAGGGGAGAGTGGAGTTTTAAATTAAGAAATGAATGGGGGAGTTATGAAGAATTAAGAGGATTAAATAAGAATGATGGTGATGAGTTGTGGTGTGTGAGTTGGTGCTGGGAGTTACATCTCCTAATTTGTTCCGTTGTGTAAAATCTTACTTGATCGGTACGCGGTACTTTCCCCGAACGGGTCCGAATTGAGATCCGTTTACGTTTCTGGAATCAGACAGACAAAACGAATATTATGACATAATCAAATAATTTTTCTAAGGATTTTATTTTCCAAACCCCGGTCCGAGTTAGTAATTAATTAATTAGATTAATCAATTCTAATAGACCGGGTCGCAGGGCGTTACAGTTATCCACCCCTTAAGAAAATTTCGTCCTCGGGATGGGGATAACGGGCGTTACAGTTATCCCTCACTGAAAAGATGGGGATAACGGGTGCGCATGGATTCCTCTGTTTCCCAGGTCGCCTCCTCAACGGTGTGACTTCTCCACAGAACCTTGACCAACGGAATGGTTTTGTTCCTCAACTAACGGATCTCCCGAGCCAAAATCTCAACCGGCTCCTCCTCATATGTGAGGTTCTCGTCGAGAGTGACCGTATCCGCTGGGATCACGTGTGAAGGGTCTGACCGGTACCTTCGGAGCATAGACACGTGGAATACATTATGAATCCTGCTCAACTCAGATGGTAATTCGAGCCTGTAGGCTACAGGTCCCACACGTTCAGTGATTTAGTATGGGCCTATAAACCTCGGACTAAGTTTTCCCTTCTTTCCGAAACGCAAAACATTCTTCCAAGGAGATACCTTCAAGAAGACCTTATCTCCCACCGTATACTCGATATCGCGTCTCTTAAGGTCGGCGTAGGACTTTTGTCGGTCCGATGCCACCTTAAGCCGGTCCTTAATTACCTAGACCTTCTCCTCGGTTTCACGAACTTGATCTGGCCCTTCCAACTTTCTCTCGCTGAGCTCCGTCCAGCAAGTAGGAGTCCGGTACGGCTAGCCTGGTAGCCTGGTAGCTGTTGTTTTATGCGAACTCCATCAACGGTAGATATCGCTCCCAACCATCCCCGAAGTCGATCGCGCAGACACGCATCATATCCTCGAGGATCTGGATAACCCTCTCGGACTGACCGTCCGTCTGTGGGTGGAAGGCCGTACTGAAATGAAGATCGGAGCCCAAGGCTTTCTGTAGGCTCTTCTAGAACTGTGACGTGAAACGCGGGTCACGGTCCGAAATGATAGATGAGGGAACTCCATGTAACCGGATGATCTCGCGGATGTATAGTTCCGCCAGACACTGTAAAGAGAAATCTCGTCGTATCGGAAGAAAATGGGCGGACTTAGTCAAATGGTCCACAATGACCCAAACCGTATCGTTCTTGCGAGGCGACAAAGGTAGCCCCACCACAAAGTCCATGGTGATACGATCCCACTTCCACTCGGGAATCGTAATCTGCTAGAGTAGTCCGCTCGGTACCTGGTGCTCAGCCTTAACCTGCTGGCATGTCAAGCATCGTGCTGTAAACTCTGTGATCTCTCTCTTCATTGCAGGCCACCAGTAATGCTTCCAGAGATCCTAGAACATCTTGTTACTACCGGGGTGCATGGTATATACCGTACCATGTGCTTCACGGAGGAGACGAGCTCACAGGTCTGCCTGCAGAAATCGTCGCTGCTCTGCGCCGTCACGATCTCATCCAACAATGTAGGCTGAACTCGGAGTACGGCTAGAGTTTTGCGACTAAGAGCATCAGCCACCACATTCGCCTTACTAGGGTGATAAGCGATATGACAGTCGTAGTCTTTAATCAACTCCAACCATCTCCGCTGTCGTAGATTCAAATCCTTCTGACTCAAGAGATACTGCAGACTTTTATGATCGGTGAAGATACGCGTCGTCTCGCCGTACAGATAATGTCTCCAAATCTTGAGAGCGAGAACGATCGCCGCTAACTCCAGATCGTGTGTTGGGTAGTTGCACTCGTGCGGCTTCAACTACCGAGACGCATAAGCTACAACCTTACCCTCCTGCATAAGAACACACCCTAGGCCATTGTGTGAAGCGTCGCTGTATACCGTATACTCCACTCCTGGGGTCGGCTGAACCAATACGGGTGCCTGGGTCAAACACTCCTTCAGTTTCTCGAAGCTCTGCTGACAAGCCTCGGTCCAATCAAACTTCACTTCCTTCTTCATTAACTTGTGCAAAGGTGAAGCTATCCTCGAGAAGTCTTTCACGAATCGGCGGTAGTATCCTGCCAACCCGAGGAAACTCCTCACCTCTCGAGCATTGCGTGGAATCTTCCACTCCGTGACCGCC